TGATGTCTCTATGGAAGTTGTATACATTTCTCTTAGCTTTCCATAGAGACCAAAATGGTGTAATTTGAGTGAGTATAGCTCAAGTTATGAGTGGAAAACTATAGGTAGGTTAAATGACCTTGTTTTGGGTCACCCAGCCCTGTGGATGGCGCTTGGGGCGCCAGATTCACGCTTGGGGCGCCAAATTACGAGATCAGACAGTAGCATCCACGCTTGGGGCGCCAGATTCACGCTTGGGGCGTCAACTTTCTGTTTTCCCACGCTCTGGGCGTGGATCTCACGCTACGGGCGCGGGGGTTCTGGAGGTTTCGCACCCTTTTCTTAGAAAATGCATAACTTTGGCTACGGTGCTCCGATTTGAGCGCGGTTTGAACCCACGCGTAGCTAATGAAAAATACTATAACATAGTAGAAAATGGGAATCATAAAAGGAGTTTAGAATTAATTGATAATTAAAGTGATGAAGACATTTAACGACGTACTGTCAAGTAGAATGGAAATATAATATTAAGTTTTGTCCCACTATTCCGCGAAGTATATATAGTTATGATCACGCACCTGGTTATTTAAATCCGGCTTGTTTAAAAAGGAAAAATTTATCAATGCCGTACGCAATGATAACAATCCGGTTCTAGAACGGGGTGTTACATTTTATGGTATCAGAGCAGTTTCGTAGGGAATAACTGTTAGCTATTGTTGAGTATGCTTAGTGTTTGATGCTTTATAGTTGTTTTGGTACTCTTTATGATTATTGCACTTGTGATCACTAAGTATGAGCCTGATCAACTCATTTCTGTGTGTAACATGTGTAGTGACATGACGAGGAACCGGAATAACCCTGAAACATCGAATGTCAATGCTCAGCCAGACACTGTTTTGGCTGCTCTTGTGAGGCCTAGAAGTGGCCGTGTGGCAACGGGCGTACAACCTGATCCCGTGGCTGAAGCTCTTGCAGCCGTTCAGAGGGAGTTGGCTGCTAGCAGGCAAGCCAATGAAAATCTGATGAAAACAAATGAAGACTCGCGGATTGCTATGGCCGCGATGATGACTGAGTTGAGGACGTTGAGGGGTACTAGGCCCGTGAACCGGCAACCCACTCCTCCTCCTCACACGGCTACGCCTTCTCCACCTCCTTCACAGGAAGAGGGTGTAGCGGGTAACAATGAAGGTGAGGCTAGTCATCCTTCTGGAAGCCACAGTCATCACACTGAGGTCCGTCAACCACGTGTTGAGCATGTTGACGAACATGAAGCTGAAGAAAGACGATTGATGGCTTTTAGAAAACATAAACCACCTTCTTTCAGTGGAGGCTACGACCCGTTGGTGGCAGCAAAATGGCTCCAAACTATGGAGAAAATCTTCAGGGTGATGAGGTGCCCTGATGCAATGAAGTTGGTCTACTCCGTGTATATGCTGGAAGAGGAAGCTGAGGATTGGTGGACCAATACAGTGCAGCCCTTAGAAGCTGAAGGCCGGGAAATCACCTGGCGGTTGTTCGAGACTTTATTCTTGGACAACTACTTCCCTAGGGAGGCTAGGGAGCAGAAGCAGAACGAGTACAATGATCTAAAGCAAGGGTCGATGTCAATTGACCAATATTTTGCTAAATTCAACGAATTGGTGAAGTACGCCAACTATGGGAGAGCCTTACCTACTCCGGCCGAGATGACCTCTAAATTTCAATGGGGTCTGAATGAGAAAATGTCTTGGAAGATGTCTAATTGTGATATCCGAGAGTTTAGCAAGTTTGTGAACCAATGCCGGAAAGTAGAAGAAGTTTATAATGTGGCAAAGAGCAAGAAGTCTTCTGGGACACAAGCTTCAGGTGCTAGTGGAGCAACTGACTCTACTTTAGAAAACAATAAGAAAATAGATGACAAGAATGGAAAGAAGAAATTGCAAGCGAAGCAATCTGATGATAAATTTAAGAGAAAAGGCAACCAAGGAGAGACAGTTATGAGTGAATTCCCCCTGTCTAAATGTGACACCTGCGGGAAGACACATAGAGGCACATGTTGGTACGAAACAAAGTCGTGCTTCAAATGTGGCCAACTGGGTCACTTTGCTAATGTATGTCCTACTAGGACTTATCGGATTTCAAATGTACACGCAATTGTTGGATCTCGAGTAAGAGGTCAAGATTATACCTTAGAGCCACATGATGGGGAGGAAACTCTCAGGCAAGCAGAAGGTATGATTTGAAAATTTCTTTCTTGTGAATTGTCCACCCAGTGTAATGATGATAGACATGTTGTTGCATAAAGTGTAATGCATGCATGTGAGTGATGTATTCTTGATGATGCATGCAATGTCTGTGAGAGTGAACATTGTGTTGAATTGACAGATTTGACGTTAGTCTGATCAAGTGGAGCATAGGCTCTATAACCACAAAAGTTAAAGTTAACAAAAGAATTAATGAAATGGAAAGCTAGAATTATGAACCAAACTGTAAACCTCTAGGTTTAGCTTACGGCTAAAAACCATTAGGAGGTGAAGGTATAACAAAGAAAAGTAGTCTGATAACATGCATAGTTATGCCTGATTGTATGTTAATGTATTGAGGCAAAGAATAAAAGACTATTGCATGAGGGTGTGAAAATGATTGTTCTTGTGAGTTTATGTTATATGAAATTGCATTTAAGATGGATGTGAATTATTAGCGAAGAAATTCTCTAAATAGGAGAATAAGTGGATACGGGGCTTTCTTAATGGAATAATTCCTAAGAGTAGTGACTCTTGGAAGCACCCAGATAAAAAATTTGTTTTTAAAAAGGAATAATTCCTTAAAAAGTAAGTCATGAAGTGAGAGTGAAGATGGTATGGTTAGTGAAAGGGCTAATGTACCATTGAATGATGAAAACAAGTCATCAGTGAAAGGACTGGTGTGCCATGTCAGTGAAAGGACTGATAAAATCATCAGTGAAAGGACTGGTGTGCCATGTCAGTGAAAGGACTGATATGTGAAATCAGTGAAAGGACTGATAAAATCATCAGTGAAAGGACTGATATGTGAAATCAGTGAAAGGACTGATAAAATCATCAGTGAAAGGACTGATATGTGAAATCAGTGAAAGGACTGATAAAATCATCAGTGAAAGGACTGATATGTGAAATCAGTGAAAGGACTGATAAAATCATCAGTGGAAGAACTGATGTGCATGCTAGTGAAAGGATTGGTGCATGATATTAGTGAAAGGACTAATATCTAATTAAAAGTTTAGGTAAGGATTGTATTATCAGTGTAAAGACTGATAGGGTCATCGGTGAAAGGACTGATGGTCTATTACAAATGTAGTTGGTATTATCAGTGGAAGGACTGATGCACTGATGTTTCAATGGAATGGTATCATCAGTGACAAAACTGATGTACAATTAAATAGGATAGGATATTATCAGTGAGAAGGCTGATGTACTAAAGCACATGTGGACAGTAATATTAGAAAAATGGCTAATATTAGATCGAAAACTTAGAAAGGGTTCAAAGTTGTAATGAAAAGACTAGTTCACGAAATAGAAAATTTTGTGAGATTTATTATAAACAGCCTTGTAATGATAATGGATCATTGAGAAAATAGTCTGTAAAAGACTGTGTGCCTAACGAAAGGGTTAGCACACAATATGGAGATTGGTGATGATCTTAGGATTATCTTAAAGATGAGGAGTTTGAAAGTAACATTATTAAAATTGAATAAATGTTGATGAGGTAAGACCATGATGTTTTATGGTTTCATACCAGAACGAAGGATATAGACCTGGTAGGGATAAAATAACTAGGCTTGAGGAGATCGAGCACTACTTATAAGCTCAAAGGCTTGCACCTAATGGCAACGTGTGTATAAGTATAGAGATAAAACCATTTTGATGGTCGAGATGCAGTGGGAAGGCAGAAGGCCTGACCTGTCCAGTTGGTAACGGGGAGAACGAGTTCTCTAGCGGAAGCCCGAGTTCAGGAATAGGTATGTTCCTGATTTTGCGGACAAAATCGCTAAAAGGTGGGGTGAATATAATATCCCTAACCTAATTAATTAGTAAATTACAAGTAATTAAATAATTAAGCATGTTTTAGTGAGTAAAATTAAGTATAAGGCTTAATGAAATGAATCTGAGTCACTTTGGAGTTAAAAAGTGTACTCAGCGAAAATTAAGGAGTATAAATGGGTACTGGCAAAAGTACCCAAAATATAAAAATAAAGTTGTAAATATTCCTAGAATAATATTCCAGACTTTTGGGTAAAGTTTGGTAATTAATGGAGTTGAATAGATAGACGAACCAATACCCGCTTAAAGCCACTTAACATAAGTTAAGTGACCAAAGCAACAAAAGAAACCCAATTGTCCCTCCCATTCCCGTCGCCAGAAAGAAGAAGAAGGAAGAGAAGAAGAGTGAGGAAAGGAAGAGAGGAAGAGAAACCCTAGGGGGAGCTAATCTCAACCATTTTGAGTGATTCCAAAGCCTAAACCACTCCAAATCTCCTCCTCTTTCATAATCCTTGCTTTGTTTTGAGTGGGGAGCATTGTGGAGAGGGATATTGGCTCTCAAAAATTCGGCCCTTTGGTGAAATTTGAGGTTTTGAGTGCTTCAACCTCCATTGAAGCTTGAGGAGCCATCAATCCTTGGTTGTGTGACCATTGGTGGTAAGATTCTAACCCTTGAACCATGTTTTCTTGGAAATTTCATGATATAGGGTTTTGAATGAATAGTGTTATGGGTTTTGTGAGAATTTGAGTAAATTGGCTATGTTGTGGTAGAATTGAGACTTAGCACATGTTGAGAAAAATGCTAGGAATGTCATTTAATCGGTAAAAATGAGCCTAGTTAGTTAAATGACTATACTTGGTATATTGCAAGATTATCATGCTTGTTGAAGAGTTTTCTTGCAATTATGACCAATGGGTTGGCTTGGTTGATTGATGATTGGATCCTTGTGATGTCTAGGATTGAGACATTTGGACCAACCGTGAGTGATCAACCATTGGAGCAAGCTATGGAGCTTGATTAGCTCCATTGGATAGGTGAGTTCATGCTTATGTTTGGTATGAATTGTATAGCTTGGATGATAGCTATGTGATGTTATTGGATGCAATATATGTTAATTGCATTAAACCTTGTGTAGGTTTTGTTTGAGAAGTGGAGTATTTTAATTGATTGACTGTGGAAACTGTTGGTGGTGAACAAAGGTCGAATTGAAGCTGAGGTAAGCCTTCGGACCTTGGGTGTAATTCCCTTGACTGTTCTACCAAGCCCTGAAAGGGTGGAGGTTGTGATTGTGTATATAAATGCAATAAAATAGTGTAATGCTTTGTTATACGTATGTGTATGCATTTGGTGTGGCATAGGATGGTGTTTCCCTATGTTGGTATGTTGCATGACGATGCGTAAATCATACTTGGTAGTTAGCTGGCCAGTAGGACTATTTGCATCTGAGTTTCCTTAGGACAGCTTGAGAGCTCGAGGGATTTCTCCTGGAGATGTATTGCACTTCGCATAGATATGTATTTACTGCATTATTATTGTTATTGCTATTACACTGATATGGAACTGTGGGGTGGAGAGATGCTCCAAGGACCCCTGGTTTACTGGATATATTCGTATATCTCACCCCGTGTTGTGGGGACCCCCTTTCAGGTAAGGATGCTGCAGGAGCCTCTGATGGCAAGTGGCCTTATTTGCAGTAGATCATGCATGAAGAAAATGATGTTTTGAGATCATACATGTTGTTTTGTAGATTTACATGTATAGGATTGATCATTGATAGCATGGACGTATGTATATCTCGTTATATTTGATGGACTTAGCCTATGATCATGCCATTGTATATCTCTTTGGTTGATGAGAGCCAAGAGATGATCATAGCCTTTTGTAGCTAAGTCCCCCGTTATGTAATTAAACTTGTATCAATGCTATTTACTTCCAGGATATGAATGCATGATGAATATTGGATTGTTGAGCTGGAAATTATATTAGGTACCTAGTGCTAAATTGGAAAATGTTGAGAAAACAAATACATCCCGTCCGGTTGACCAATTTTCATACCCAAGGTGATGGAATTGGACTTTGATGTCTCTATGGAAGTTGTATACATTTCTCTTAGCTTTCCATAGAGACCAAAATGGTGTAATTTGAGTGAGTATAGCTCAAGTTATGAGTGGAAAACTATAGGTAGGTTAAATGACCTTGTTTTGGGTCACCCAGCCCTGTGGATGGCGCTTGGGGCGCCAGATTCACGCTTGGGGCGCCAAATTACGAGATCAGACAGTAGCATCCACGCTTGGGGCGCCAGATTCACGCTTGGGGCGTCAACTTTCTGTTTTCCCACACTCTGGGCGTGGATCTCACGCTACGGGCGCGGGGGTTCTGGAGGTTTCGCACCTTTTTCTTAGAAAATGCATAACTTTGGCTACGGTGCTCCGATTTGAGCGCGGTTTGAACCCACGCGTAGCTAATGAAAAATACTAAACATAGTAGAAAATGGGAATCATAAAAGGAGTTTAGAATTAATTGATAATTAAAGTGATGAAGACATTTAACGACGTACTGTCAAGTAGAATGGGAATATAATATTAAGTTTTGTCCCACTATTCCGCGAAGTATATATAGTTATGATCACGCACCTGGTTATTTAAATCCGGCTTGTTTAAAAAGGAAAAATTTATCCAGTTTTCTAATTGAACCAATGTGATTGTAACTGCGCTTAATGCCGTACGCAATGATAACAATCCGGTTCTAGAACGGGGTGTTACACATTCGTAATTCAATACTTCCTTTGAACAGTTAGTTTATCTTCAGTAAGAGACGAAGCACAGTTCGCTTACAAAGGAAAGAAGTTCAATAACAAATAAGTGAAACATAATGATGTCACTTGATAAAGGATTTGACTATTTGTAACAACTATTTCACTATTTGCACATGATGAGTGATGACTTATTTAAATAGTATTTACCTGGATCGATTCCATCAGTATTAGGAGAGTCACGAGGTGCCAAAATTGTGACAAATCGAACAACAACATTGCTGAAAAGAAGGAAGAAATTTTGAAATTATACTTCAGGAAGAAATTTGTACCTCTTCGATCCCTTTTTAGTTTGTTTTAGGCTAGATGTAATCAAGAAAATGAAAACACTATAAAGCATAATTTTACCTGCAGTAAACTGGGTGTATATTCCAGAAGGGAGAATTCTTGAAAATCACATTTGAAATAATAATATTTCTGGAATTGACAAATTCTACAAGATTTGGTCTTGTAAATTGAAGAGTTCTCTGCCTCCACATGTTCCACCACACATCTCCTTGCCCATCAATTGTCCCATTCTCGCCTTCAAAAATATGAATAAGAGTCAATTAAATGGAGGGAGGGAGAGAGAGATTAGTTTTACCATGAAAGCTTGTAGCCTTAGGTTATAAGGGTATAAAGAAACTTACAGTTCCCAAGACATCCAATCAATTATGGCTATGCAGTACAGAGCTTTTTCAGCATGCAATTTTCTTTTCTTGTTTACTCTAAACTATTACTTTACATTTCTTTCTTATATACTTCAATAAGTTGTAGTCATTATTTTTTAGACACTCAGTGGTCTGATGTAAAATAAGAAATTGGGTCAGTAATTTATTTTTTACCTGTGATTACTACATCATTAACTCCATCTCCATGGATAAAACTCATATACCTTCCTCCAGGGAGCTCCCTTCCTCTTCCATAAGATGGTAAGGGTGCAATTAAAGGCCAATTCCTCAACTCCTGAAGAACGAAGAGAGGAAGAACATTAAAAAATGTGGTAAAAGACAAAAGGCTCGATGTTCATCTGACTTTCTACCTATAAGTTCCCTTTACTTGTAGACAAAAAATAAACTGCATTACAAGAAGAACAAAGGTATTTTGATTTCCATTGGATTTTGAACATTCACTTCAGATCATATTCTAGCAGCATAACATAAGAATTTATTATTCAATATATACACCTGACAAAATGAGTTTGATAGTCAGAGTCCTATATGATAGATTTAATCCATGCATCTAGAATTGAATTTTGGAACAGACACACAGCTCTGGAACTGAAACCAGCAGGCAGGTATTTACACCATTCCACTACCTAATAATGCTCCCAGCACATAATCCCTCCAATCAGATTTATAACCAGAAACATGAAATAATTACACAGTTAGAAGTCTGTTACAGCCCCAACTCAATGAAGTAAAGGGTGGGCGACATAACAAAAGCTTCCAAGCAAGATAAAAAAAAAACCACTCCCCATTAAACCCGACTAGCGAGTGTGGGGTGGAGAAAATCCTTGTACGCAGCCTTACCCTTGCATAATTGCAAAGAGACTGTTTTCTGGATTCGAACTTATGACCTTTCAGTCATGCAAGATATAATATATAAATCAGTAATGGAAGCTCTAATATATAAATCAGTAATGGAAGCTCCAAGTATAGAAGTGACTTAAATAAGCCCATCATATATTGAACTTGCTTATCTATTGTTTTTGGGGGCTGGCTGCCATAATCTATAGCAAACAATGAGTATTAAAAAAATAAGTAGCATTCTCAGGTGACTGATAATATAGTGCTTTTCATTTAAAATTGTTATGAACACAAGCATATATGATTAGTACTCAAAATTAGTTTTACATCAATTCATAGAATACGCCTCACTCTAGATTTTGTTATTTAAACAAATGAATCATATTTACATGATTCATACACTTGCAGAATAAGGCAGTACCCCAGCATAGTAGTAGGCTAATGGCCAACAAAACCAGCTGTCCAACAAAGCAATTGTTAATGCTATAAATATCATGCACATGCAGCCATGCAGAGAAAGACCCACCAATACTTTACATCCTCTCAGCCAGAGCACCATGATTCATGCAGATTCATTTTCCGACAATCCATTATCCATAGTGCATATACTCCATACTACCAACCATACATAATCGAGATAAACAGATAAACACAAACCAACTGACCCAATTCATGATACAGAACATAACAGACCTTTTTATCATGTAAAAATGTTCCTTCTTTCAGTATTATCACCATTATTTTATTGAATTCACAAGTACTGACCCTGAAATTTTTTTCTCACAAATTGTTAAATGACTTTAGATTATGGTTTATCAAATTCCACTCATTAAATTTTTGCGGTGCTTCTTAAATTTTCAGAATGTAGCCGACATTTTGGCAGTTTGTGAAGACTTTATAACGTGCAAGCAATGAAAAGTTTTCCATTGAAATACCTATCATAGTCATTATCACTTTGATTTTAGTGTCAGGTGGGCTCTACCTGATGCTTAGAATCAGATTACTAACGGTGAAAAATAAATATACATAAAAAATTGTTCTGACAACATATATGAATAAACAACAAAAGAAAAAAAATATACTTTAAATAACTTTGTCTAATGTTCATTGAAATGACGTCATTTTGGATTGAAAAATAAAAAAATTAGAATGCTAAAGACTATTATAACGTCAAATAAATTAAAATTATAAAAATACCATGATTTCCGCCCTAAAATGACGTCATTTTGATAAACATTAAATACAATTATGTAAAGTAACTTTAGAAAAAAAAATCATAAACAAATAAAATATTTTAATAGTATACATCGTTTTCATCCAAACAAAAACTTGAATGCCGACATAATTTAGCTCTATAAAATATTAAATTACGATTTCAACCAAAATATAATATTCAATTAAATTCTAATAAAAAATTATAAGTAAATTAAGATAATTATTAAACAAATATACTATTTTAATGATGTAAAGTTTGTGCTATGGATGCAATTCATCTGTATCATTCTAGCTTTTAAGAATCCAACATTGAATGTTGTAAGGTTAAAAATAAAAAATATTTATGTACCCACGCATATTACCTTTACAAAAGGTCTACGTACTTAGCGGTTCACTTAAATTATAATTAGATTATATATGCGATTTTGTTTTAAATTATTTCTTGCTTCACATTATTTTTTCTTTTTTGTAATTGGGTACCGTAAAATGAGTTTAAATTATGTAAATCTCAATTTTACAAAATTTAAACAAAGAACTAAATCGTAATCGATATCCGTTTTCAAAGATCAAATGCCGTTTGCATTATAATATGTATCTTTCTCGTTCAAAAAATACATATTAGAAAAATAAAATAAAAAAAACTTGAGTAACCCAATTAACTCAAACAGCTAAAAATATATCT